TCCACCCTCAATTCATATGTTGAAACCTAATCCCCAGTATGATGGTATTAAAAGGTGGAGCCTTTAAGAAGTGAATGGGATTAATGCCCTCAAGATGGGGTCTGAGGGAACTTCAATGCCTCTCCTACCACCTGAGGACACAATGAGAAGGGGCCATTTGTGAACCAGACAGGAAGCCCTCACCACATACCAAATCTGCGTGCACCTTGATCCTGGACTTTCCAGCCTCCAGAACTGTGACCAATAAGGTTCTGTGCTTTACAAGGCACGCAGTTTGTGGCTTTGTTCTAGCATCCTGAACAGACTGAGACAACGGGGCTTCTGGTGTGCAGGTATTCTACTGGCTACTTATAGATATAAAAACACATGGGACTTGCTGAGAGGTGGACATGGGCTTCTGACTCCCAGGTGTGGACAACATTCCCAAAAGCACCGCCCTGAAAGTGGGGGAAGCCTGGGAGCGCTGAGGAGAGGAGAGAGAGGGTGGGAAGAAGGTGGAGGCAGGGAAGTGGGGATGGGGCCCAGGCCCCAGTGGGGTGTTGGAAAGGTGGGCTTCTACTGGGGTTTGCCCAACCACAGCTTTGAGTGGGAACTTATTGAATGTGTCTGACAAGAAAGGACTCACGGCGGGCTTGATAACTAAACATCTTACAGTAGGTGTTTAATAAACTTCCTGAATGGACGGATGGTAGAATGAACGGAGGGCTGTATGTAAGAACGAATCAACCATGGCTATTCAGTGGGGGGGGGGTCTGGGCACATCAGGCAGATCCCCCTGCACTCACGCCCACCCCTCACCCCCCGACACAGGGGGTTACAGTTCCATGTGCTTCTTCTCAGCCTCCATTAGCTCCTGGATCTTCTGGGGTATGGTCTTTGTCCAGAACTGGAACCTGCGGGCCCTCAGGGCCTGGCCCACTGCAGGCTGTATATTCAGCTGCAGGTATCGCTCCTCCTGGTCAAACACGGGCCAGTGGGGCAGACCCTCGCCGTTGGGGTTCCTGTAGACATGCCCGGCCAGCAGGGAAAGAAGAGGGTCACTGTGAGCGCTGCCAATGCACAGGCCTGCCGGCCCTGACCGGGTCAGGCCAGGAAGACAAGCAGGCCAGGTGGGCTTGGGGATAGAGGGGGAAGGATTGCAGATATAGCTGGGAAACTGCCTCCCAGTGGTGTCAGCGCCATGGGGTGGGCGTGGGGGGCAGGCAACCTGGTCTGTTTTGTCCCTCACTCTCAGAGGGGGGCTGTGACAGCACCACAGCACTCTGCCCATCCTACAGGTCACAGGGAGATGGAACTGCCATGGGGCCCCTCTGTGTCCTAGTGGGTCCTGGAGCTGGGGAGGGGCTATCATGTGACTCAGGACACATGTATGATAATGAGGGGTCCCAGGGAAGGGGAGCGCTAGGTGGGAGTGCCTGGCAGGTTAGGCAGGCGTGTGGCATCTCACCCATTTCGAGCAAAGTTGGCCCAGTACTTCATCACCCTCCTGCTCAGCAGCGCCTCCTCCTCAGTGAGTTTGACTGCAGAGAGGAGGAGGACAAGTGTCCAGTCGGGGCCACCCCAGGCCAGCTGCCCATTCGTGCACCACACTCACCATCCCAGGTGTCACTTCTCCCTGGACCCCGCAGGTCTGGACCTCCGCCCCTCCCCCTCCGCGCTCGGGAGCCAGGCCCTGTCCTTGTCCCAGCTCCTCACTCTCCCAGACTCTAGCTGGCTCCATGCAGGGCCCATTGCTCCTTCTGACTCGGGGAAGCCCTTTCAGGAACAAATACGCCTTTGAAACACACCCCTCTGCACCCAGGCCAAACACCATCCCTGGGGTGGGAGACATGGAGGCAGCACGTGCCACAGTCTGATGAGCCTTGCATTCTAATCCCAGCTCAGCCTTTTGAGCTCTGAGATCTTGGACACTTGATCCTAATCTCACTCTGAGCCTGTTTCCTCATCTGTACAGTGACCCCTGAGGGACCCAGCCAGGGTCTGTCCCACCTCCTGGGGAAGGAGGAAGACTCACTGTGGCTGCCCCAGAAGGAGCTTCTGAAGACAAAGAGAACCTCATCGCCATGGTCGGCCTTCACGTGGGGTGGCTTGATGTCCTTGAAGCAGGAGGGACGATGCTGGAACTCATAGAAGTAGACGGGGCATGGGAACCTAGGGGAGTGACAGGTCATGACAGGGGGCCCCCTCACTTGGAGCTGTCCTGCATCACCCGTGGTGACACAATACCTAGGTCTAAAGCTCACTGGAATCTGGACAATGGGGTGGGGGTGTCCTAGGCTGCAGCAGGGGCAGTGTGGAAACCTGGGATAAATCATGGCCATGGACTTTTGAGCTGGGTGTTCTTGGGCAAGTCACTGAAGGTCACAAACCACAGTTTCCTCATCTGTAAAATGAGGGAAATGTCTGTCTCTAGAATAGCCACGAGGATTTACTGAGGCGAGGGACATCAAGTGCCTGGCAACCAGGGGCCCTGTAAAGATTTGGGTTGGGACCTGGACACCCACAAAACTCTCCTAGGACCCAGGGCTCTGAGCTGCCCCTTGCCAGTCAGGCCTTAGGTAAGATGTACTCACACTGAAAATGTGCTACTCGGAGTGCAGGGATCACGAACATGGCATCCCCCATCATCTCCCGGAACTGGGCTTGGAGGGTCTGGGGGTCCTCATTGTCCCCCATGTACTCCTCCATCAACAGGTCACCAGTCTCAGGAGGCAACATCTACCCCAGGTGAATCAGGAAGAGTGAGGTCAGGCAGGCTGCCAGGGCAAGGGAGGCAGCAGCCTCAGGGGTGGGGAGATAGATGGTGGGATGGGGCAGGGAATGGGGGGAAATGGCCAAGCTCAGGGGTGACCCCACCCACAAACACACAACTACCCCCACATTTGCTCACGGGAGTCACTGCACGGGCAGGCTATCTGGGGAATGGGTTTACCCTACTCAGGAGAGAGGCAGCTCCTCTCCAATGGCAGAACCCTGGGAGCCTCACCATCTCTGCTGAAGTTTTCTGCACAAGAGCCTGCATGGATTCTCTGTCCACTTCCTTCTGGGTGTCAAAGAGGCCCATGAACTGCGTGGTGGGAGGAGAGCCTCATGTTGGGGGTGGAATGGGCCTGGAGCTATGAAGCTCTGCGGCCCCCACGTGGAATGGGTTCCCCAGGCACGCAGGGCTTGGGGCTGGCCTCACCATGGGAATGACCCAGCCCCATTCGTCGTTGTTGACACCAATGATGCTGGGGACAGGTCGAAAGTTGTCCGAGGCCAGCAGCTCCAGAGGGTGCCTGGGCAGGAAGGCCCCATCCACCACACCAGGGATTATCTTGAAGGGCTGAGTGGGCATGCAAGGTCAGGGAGCAAAGTCAGGTCCCTGACATTTTCTGACAGTCTCTTAGTTCCTTCCACACCTTCCTGGCACACCCCAACGGCTCCCACCCTCCCAAAGAGGTTTTACGCACATGTGGCTTGGCACACGATGGCCTCCATTTCCCATCCAGATCTATGAGGACACCAGGTCATGGAGATAAAGTAACATGCCCAGGGCCTGTGAAGGGTGCTCAGGCCTGCCTGCCCCCCACCGTATTGCCTCTCACTTCCTCCACACCCATGTCCACTGCCCTGACCCTGTTAATGGCCAGAATCTCCTCTTCACTCTTGCCCCGCAGGCAGCGCACCAGGGCCTCGGAGTCCACCTGGTCACAGGCAGAAAGGTTGGCCACCATCTGTAAACAGATCAGGAAGGGGCTGGCTCATCCTTCCAGGTAGTGGAGAGGGCTTTGCCCGGGGTCCTGGCAGGGAGCAAGTGCACCCCAAATCTCACAGGGTATTGTATGTTGATTGCTACAGTTTTCAAACTGTTCCAACATCCCTGGTGCTCAGAGGTCTCAGCCAGAGGGGCCATGCCACCTGATCAGATGGTTCTGCCCAGGGTGGGGGTTCTCAGGCCAGCAGCTTTTTAGGCCACAGAACATACTCAGCCTCCACAATGGCAGCAGTGTGGAGATTCTGACCCTTGAGCCCCTCAGCAATGCCTGTGCAGGGGGCAGTTTCTGAGACACCCTGATGATGGTCCTTGTTATCCTCATTTAACAGTCAAGCAGCAGAGGCTCCGAGAGGTGGGAGATGAGGCAGCAGGTCTGGGCCTCGGTGGATGAGGGCACTCACCGTGGACACTGCATCAGATGAGCCAGTGATGAGGTCAGGCAGCAGAGCCACACCACTCTCCATGATGGCACCGTGGAAGAGCCCTCGGGACATGGGGGATATGACATGTGAAGACACGCTTGTGCCGCCTGCAGACTCTCCAAAAATGGTGACACGGTCAGGGTTGCCTCCAAAGTGGGCGATATTCTGCTGGACCCAGCGTAGTGCAGCCACTTGGTCCAGGTAGCCCCAGTTCCCGGTTGCGTGCTTGTCTCCAGTGCTGAGAAGTGACAAGAATAGGGATCACAGGGCTGTCCTGGCTCTGTGCAGCCCCCTAGCACAGCCCTGGACTGGTCTCACCTGAAGAAGCCCAGGACACCCAGGCGGTACTGGATCGTGACCACCACCACATCCTCAAAGGCTGCCAGCACAGAACCATCATACATCGAAGCTGAGCCCACAACAAGCGCCCCACCATGGATCCACACCATCACCTGGGGGAATCAAGGCAGAGACCACATGACGCCCCCCCAGACCAAACCCCACCAGGGCTGCTACCTAGACTACCCACGTCTTTGGCTCTGTCCACCTGCCCACACAGACAGAACTCCAGCGAGATTTCAAGACCTGGGCCATGGAGCAGGGACCCCAGTTCTACCAAGAAACCCAGGCCTCTCATACTTTAGAGTCTACCCATGTGTCCAAGCCTGACTCCATTACTCCCAGAACCATCTCTGTGGTGGAGAGAAAAGGGGTGTCTCCCTGATTGTCCCACCCAAACATTAATGAAAATTGTCCTCCATCTCATCTGCCCAACAGATAATCCTTAGCTGGGGTCTCTGATGACCTCAACATGCAGTCCTCAGGCACCTGAGTTGGTCCCCTGGGCACTAGTTGGGTGGGTGTGTCCTGGGTCCACCCCAAGGACACAGACTCTGACCTCTGGAGCAGCCAGGACCACGTGACCCCATGTCCAGAGGTCAGCTGCCCACACTGGGTGAGCAGCATTTCTTGGACTGATAGTGACAGGCCTCTCAACAGGATCCACACTGAAGTGGGGCCCTAGCTGAGCCTGTCCTTTCTAAACTTCTTGCACAAGAAGTGTCCTCCCTCCCCCCAAGACCTTGGTTTGACACTCACAGGCAGGTTAGAGCCCTGATGGGCATGGGCAGGTGTGTAGATACTGAGGTACAGGCAGTCCTCGGACATGGAGGTGGAAGGCACAGTTACGTTAAACAGGCTCATAGCGTCTGCGTTCATCATAGTGGCATCCTGAAGACACCTGGTGGCCGTGGCAGACAGTTGGTCCAAGGTCCAAACTAACCAGACCCTGGGTCCAGATTTGCACCCAGCCACCCTCAGTCCCCTTCCCCCTGATATGCTGATAACACATGATCCTTGTCTAAAGTCTCTTCCCACCAAGTTACAGGTCACGGGCTCTGGGGAAGCTGGGTTAGAGTCTGGACTTCCCGGGAGGCTTCAAGGTTGTTGAGGACCTTGGACACCACTCCTGAAGCTGGGAAATCTTGACTCTTAGAGGCCTCTATGGCAACCACTGGCAGCATGTGTTGACATTCACAACTGTATCCCTGTCCACATTGAGGCCTGCGACAGGGGAGTAGCCCTCACACATGTGCTGCATCAATGAATGAGTGAATGTTAATTTCTCGTGAGAAGGGCAGTGACACGTCCCTCATCCCAAGTCTGGACTCTCAGGGAATCTCATCATTCTCACATAGCCTAAAGTTGTAAGAACACACACATTTCCATTGGCCAGTGGCGCCTGGCCCTGTCAGGGGGCACAGTGACTGTGGAGAGTGGGGGCACAGTGACTGTGGAGAGTGGGGGTCTTCAGGGAGCCAGCCCTGCTGCCCTTGTCAGGGGTCTTCAGTATCTGCTTCTGGAGTCAGGGGCTCCTACGAGGTTCACAGAGCCACCGCAGTCTCTCCCAGACACCTCCCAGTGGTGGCAGAGAACACTCGGCATAACC